TCAGTGATCAATAATCAGCTGCATTGATCAGGACCATCCATAGTGACCACATGGTGAGCAGGTCTCCAGCAGCTTCCTGTCCTGCATCATCTCCAGCAGCAGCTCTTTAAAGTCACAGTTCTTGATGTTCCTCGTTGTTCTCATTAGAACAAGCTGCTGGCTGGAGCAGGAGGAACCTGATTGGTCCGTTTGCTGCAGGAGAGTCACATGACGCGTTAAATGAGTCTGGAGAAGAAAACCCGGTTCAACCTGCTGGTGTCTCTGACTGGGTTCAGGTTTAGTTGAGCCGACGAGCAGAAAGTGTGGATCTGCTGAACCGAGCTCAGGACAAATGAAGGACATGAAACAGAACTTAGAAGAACTCCATCAACCACAGGAACAAGTGAAACCCAGAATGATCTCTGCAGCTTTAAAGGTTCACGAACAGCAGCAAGAGAAGAACCAGACGTTTGTAACCGGGTCAGCTGTTGTTGGACTGAAACGGGTCATCAGCACATGAAGTAGATGTTGGTTCTGAATGGACCACAGCAGCTGTTAGTCTCTAGAACCAGCTTGTTTCTAACCCTAACACACAGTCAGAGGGTTCTGGTGTCCAGAACCAGAACTACTGAGAAGGAAACACAGTTAGTTCTCCTGGATCTGAACACAAACTGCTGTCAGTGAAGCTTAGACTTTAGGACGAAGTGCAGAACCACCGGCTTCTTTGAGTCGACTGGTTCTGTCCAGTTTGGGTCTCTTTCTGCTCTTTGAGGTGTTTCTTGTGCTTGTTGCAGCTTTGTGTTGTTTTGTGTTTCTGCTGTTGGTTATCGGTTCTGCCTGGTGTCGGTCCGTCTGACAAGTCTGTGGAGACACGAGGAGTTCTGTTCCTCCACAGATAATGGGTTCATCTGCTGCTGGTGCTCCATCAGAACTCCACACAAGTTCTGATCCATCACAAACAGGGGATTGATTGTGTTTTGTTCTGCAGGTCCGGCCAATGAGGAGAACTTCTTCGAGTGGGAGGCTCTGATCATGTGAGTGCCGACACATCGTCACCATGGAGACAGGCGTGATGGAGCGGTTGTGCTGCGTTTGTTCACCTGTTTGCCTCCAGGGCCACACAGCAGGAAGCCAGCGGACCTGCTGGAGGTCCAGAGCTGCTGGTGCTGGTGTGTAGGAGGTGAAACGGTCCACCTGCTGCTGGAGGAACCCTCTGAGCATGTTGGAAACGTTTCCATTACGTTTGTGTTGTAGGAGCCTTTATCAGACGGACAGCGCCGCCTCCTGTTCATCTGTTCCACTTCATACTGACACCAGGCAACACAGTCCAGTCCTGACATGGTTCTGATCCGGTCTGACAGCCCACCATCAGTCTGAGTCCTTTTTAAATAACAACAGACCAATTGTGTGATGGCAGCTGGTTCAGGTGAACGTTTTCAGACGTCTCCTGTCAGCTGAACATGTGGACGGAGCAGACAGCTGCTGGACCCACCATCCAGTCACGTCTCAGTTTGGTGTTTCCAGATGCTGCAGATGTGATGCTTCACTCTGACCAGCAGGTGTCGCTGCTCACAAACAGACACACAACATGCTGCTGAACAACACCAGAGACACACACAGCTGGATCCAGAAACACCTGTCAGAACCTGGAGCCGCTGTCAGCATCGTGCTCAGATGTTTAAGCTCTCAGGTCTGGACCATGTTCGGGTTAGTTAGGGTTAGTTAGGGTTAGTTAGGGTTAGTTAGGGTTAGCTGTAGCAGGACAGGTGTGGTTAAGGTTAGTGGGTTAGTGGAGCTCAGGGGTGAGTTAGGGTTACCTGTGACGGGACAGGTGATGTAACCTAAAGGCTGCACAAATCAAAGTGAGCTGAAGGTCACCACAGACGGTCTGGATGCTGTCCTGCTGCTTTAATGGAACTCTGTGACTTTTAGCAGAAACATTCACTTGATGGTCTGAACCATCAGCGCCACAGTCCAGCCTTCTGTCAGGTTGCCAGTAGACGCTGCAGGTTCCAGGCGGGCCCTGAACGCCTCACGAGTCTGCTCAGTTCCTGCAGCAGCTCAGAGACCAAACATTAGTCTGAACAGAGTTCTGGTGTCACATTTACCTGTAGCCAGGTGTGTTTATCTACCTGGACAGGTAGCCGGACCTGATGATGTCAGCAGTGCCCCTGACCAATGAGAGTGCTGGGTCACAGGTGCCAGGTGCTGCCTGCAGCAGGGCAGCAGGTGAACACATCCTGGTGCTTCAGTGGGTTTCTGTCAGTGTGTGATCATGGCGGCTCCAGACCTGGTCACTGGTGGAACCTCAACCTGGTCTCAGGCAGAACTTATGACTGGAGGAACGTTTTTAGTCCTGAGACTGTTCCCTGAACGCCCCACATAGCAGGCTGCACTGGCTGCTGTTGGTGGCCGCGGTGCTCAGACCGGTGTGCGACTGAAGATGGCTTTAACAGAGTGAACCAGGAGGTTCTGGTGTCAGATCGGTCCAACATGAAACCCAGTGACTTTCTCTGCATGTGGTCTTTCTATGAGCGGAATGAACGGCGCCTTCAGGTACGCTCCGTTCTTCACGAGATGACCTCATTTGTAAGTGTCCACAGAACACCAGAGTTCCTCCTCGGAGGTAAACAACCGTTACAGCCACACCAACAGCTCCACTGGCACCAGTGCCACCAGTTGAAACTTGAACTGGTCTCCGTGGTGGCAGCCTGGAGCCCTGCGTCACTGTTCAGTCTGACAGTCAGTGAAGGCAGCATCAGCTGTAACTGAGCCTCCTGTTGTTGCCGTTGGCGTGAAAACAGACTCGGCTGCCCTTTAATAAAGCTGCTCAGCGTGACGTCACCGCCGGCTCACCTGTCATTACCTGCCGGGACGTTACCTGGACGTCAGCCGGCTCCGTCCTACCTGCTGTTTGTCGAGCAGCTCCTCAGAGATCCACAGAACATCAACACTTACTGACAGAATGACTTTTCCAAACCTGTGCATCAGTCCAGGACGACGTTGGAGCTGTTTCAGCCTTCAGAACCGCCAAAGGCAGGGTGGTTCTGAGCCAGTACAGTGTGTCCACTAGAGTCCTGATGGACGGCTGAGCTCGGCTTCAGCGCCACCGTGTGTCTCATGTCGTTGTCAGGTGTGTCGTGGAAGTGGATCTGTGGCAGCGTCACAGTGTTCTGACTCCTCAGTGGGACGTTTATCCAGAACCGTCTGTTGATGGAACGTTTCCGGTATCAGTCGCTGATGTTGTCAGACGGCTGCTGATTGGTCGGTAGATAACCAGCCGGAGAGTGCAAGAGATGGGTCAGATATTCAAACATCTCTGATAAGCAGCTGGTTCTGATAGGATCCTTCACTTCCACTCTGCAGCTGGTTCTCCTGTCCGGGGAACATTTCACATCAGTTTTAGAACCTTTTCAGTTCACCGTCTCTGTAGAGACCTTAAGAACCAGAAAATCTGTAGAACCATCTCCACAGCGAGCAGAACCCAGGACTGTTAAAAGGATCACTGATATCTTCTGTAGAACTGCTAGAACCGTCTGGATCCTCCTCAGTGACCATTATAACGTCTTTATGACTCCTAGAACCACCTGAAGGTTCTCTGCCCTCATGGTTCCCAGTCGGACCGTTTCTGGAGGGATTCACTGAGGACAGACCCGGTAGCTGTACCAGGATCATTTACAGCTGAGACATACAGGTGGGGGGAGGACAGGTGCATACAGGTGTTATAACAACAACAGAAACTTCCTGGTTGGAGAACAGATCATGGAGGAGATAAAGTCCTTTAGAACAGGCAGGAACTCACTGAAGCTCTTAAACCAAACTCACCGTCTTCAGGGTCAGCAGCCAGCGTCGTGCTGTTCAAAGGCTGTGTTGCTGGTGTGTAACGGTTGCTGTGTTGCTGGGGTGCAACGGTGGAACGGTTGCTGTGTTGCTGTGTTGCTGGTGTGTAACGGTTGCTGTGTTGCTGTGTTGCTGGTGTGTAACGGTTGCTGTGTTGCTGTGTTGCTGTGTTGCTGGTGTGTAACGGTTGCTGTGTTGCTGTGTTGCAGGGGGCCCCAGGACACGTGTTTTGAAGGCGGCGTGTTTCCGGCCGTCCTCAGCTTCCCCTCCGACTACCCTCTGAGCCCTCCAAAGATGAGGTTCACCTGCGACATGTTCCACCCCAACAGTAAGTAGTAGTAGGCTGATCACGGACCGGACCGCTGGTGGTTCTGTAGGAGAACAAACCTGTAGGAACCTTCCTGATCAGGCGTCACTAACATCTAAACTGGTTCAGATGTTTGAGGTCCGAGAAGCTTCTGGTCTCTGTCAGGTACTGGGTTAGCTCAGTGTTGGTCAACTGTCTGGGTTCTGAGTCCCAACACAAACACATACTGAGAAAAGAACCAGAACATTCAGAACGCAGAGATGAGGCTACTAAAGAGGACAAATCCACAGGTGGAGAAGTCTGAGGTTCATGTTTCTCTGCTACATAAAGTTCTGTGGAACCAGAACAACATGAAGAAGGAGAGAGAACTCAGAGATGTCTTCTGTCAGCAGGACTCAGAACGATGGAGACCAGAGAACAACCAGGAACCAGATGTTCCACCATCAGCTGAATGTATCTCCACCAACTGGCTCCTCTGTTCTCTGGTTCTGATCCGGGCTGCATGTATTCATTGATCCGGGATGTTGGATTATCGTCCTGCTGGGCAACAAAATCAGTCGATCAGAATTTATTGGTAAAATATTTACAGAAAGGGAATTAAACACAAAGTGCTTTTCAGTGAGAACCTGATAGAACCTGTTAGAACCTGTTAGAACCTGATAGAACTTGTGATGAAGCAGGAAGCAGGTGGAGCAGCGTCACTGAACAGCAGGAAGAATGAAAATTGACTGAATAGAATAAATCCGTTAAAATCAACTGTTCAGAGTTTTGTTTTGAAAGCATCCACTTGGTCATGTGATGAGTCAGGTGACGTGTGACTGCTGACTCACTGCTTTGAGCCCAAACCCGTCATTTGACCCGTCAGGACCCGTTAGCACGCCGCTAGCATGTCGCTAGCATGCTGTCATTAGTGCTGTGATTAGTGGGCTGCAGCCATGATGTCACAGCAGGCAGACGGTCTGAGCACGCTCAGTGCTGATTAGAGGCCGCAGGCCGCCGACCCTTCATCATCATCATCGTCGTCGTCGTCGTCTTGATGATCAGGCACCAGCATGAACCCGAGCTGAACCTGCTGCTGCTGTAGGTCTGGACCTGCATCAACAACCGTCAGTCTGCTCAGCGCTGACACAACAGAACTGGAACGCTGCTGGACCAGGACCACAGTCAGAACCGTCTACCAGTATCTGAAGTCCTGATGATAGGATCAGTACTTTATACACATTATTAAAGACCAGAACAAGTGCGACCTGAAACATGTTCTAACATGTAGAACATAGTCCGTGCTGGCTCTACTGGTCCATGAACGTGGCAGAAGGTGCTGAACTCCTGAAGCTGCAGCGCTGCTCGACATCAGGACGGAGTTTCAGGTCGTTCCAGGCAGTACGGTTCTGCAGCACGTCTGGGTTCAACCAGCCACAATCAGCACATCACTGTTCAGATCCATCTCTGACTTCCAGCCGGATCAGATCCAAACTGTGACACTGAACAGAGCTACAGAGAGAACAGCTCCTTGTTCAGGTCCACACTCGCTCTGCGCACTAACTGGACCAACCAGAACCTCCTGGTCCAACCGCCCCAACAGGTCGGTAGCTGGACTCTTCTCCTCTGTGGTTCCCTGGTGGTGGAACGAGCTACCAAACTCAAGGTCCGCTCACTCTGGACTGGTTCTATGAACTCATCCAGGTGGTTCTGTCCTGACTGGATCCTGCTGGTGTTGGTCGGCTCTCAGAGGGACGTCACTTTAGATAAAAGTCTGCTGAATGGAAGTGTAGAGTTGTAGGTTTCACCTGGCAGGTAAACATTTTGGGGTTCTGATCAGTTGGTTAAAGTTCTGTTGTGGTTCTCCTCAGTCTACCCGGATGGTCGGGTCTGCATCTCCATCCTTCATGCTCCTGGAGACGATCCAATGGGTTATGAGAGCAGCGCAGAGAGGTGGAGTCCAGTCCAGAGTGTGGAGAAGATCCTGCTGTCTGTGGTCAGCATGCTGGCAGGTAGACAACACGCTTACAACACGCTTACAACACACTACCCATACTGTGAGCAGCTCCAGAACACCACTGACAGATACTCACTGGTTCTCCCCCTGTAGAACCCAATGACGAGAGCGGCGCCAACGTGGACGCGTCCAAGATGTGGCGTGAGGACAGAGAACAGTTCTACAAACTGGCTCAGAAGATCGTACGGAAGTCTCTGGGCCTGTAGTGATGATGTCATCAGGCCGCGCCACATGTGTGAAACAGACTCGTCACCACGGAAACCACTGACACGCAGCTCTGAGACGGACAGATCAATGGACTGATGGACCACTGGGAGCCAATCACATTCACTAAATCCAATCACCAGGGGGTCATGTGATCATGGCTGCCGCGACATCATCAACTGCAGAGTTTCGGTCCGACGGCAGCAAACATCCAAACGTTCTGTCAAGTTCAGTTACAGTAAAATGTCCTTCACCCCATAACCCCATCAGTAGAGTTTCTTCTTTCTTTTATTCAAACCAGCAGGAACCAGCCGGGTTCTAACCCTAACCCTAACCTGCTGGTTCCTGCTGGTTCCTGTTGGTTCCTGTTGGTTCCTGTTGGTTCCTCCTGGTTCCTCCTGGTCCCTGTTGGTTCCTGCTGATTCCTGTTGGTTCCTGTTGGTTCCTGTTGGTTCCTGCTGGTTCCTGTTGGTTCCTGTTGGTTCCTACTGGTCCCTGTTGGTTCCTCCTGGTTCCTCCTGGTCCCTGCTGGTCCCTGCTGGTTCCTGTTGGTTCCTGTTGGTACCTGCTGGTTCCTGTTGGTTCCTCCTGGTTCCTGTTGGTTCCTGCTGGTCCCTGCTGGTCCCTGCTGGTCCCTGCTGGTTCCTGTTGGTCCCTGCTGGTCCCTGCTGGTTCCTGTTGGTTCCTCCTGGTTCCTGTTGGTTCCTGCTGGTTCCTGCTGGTCCCTGCTGGTCCCTGTTGGTCCCTGCTGGTTCCTGCTGGTCCCTGCTGGTCCCTGCTGGTCCCTGCTGGTTCCTGCTGGTCCCTGCTGGTCCCTGCTGGTTCCTGCTGGTCCCTGCTGGTCCCTGCTGGTCCCTGCTGGTTCCTGCTGGTCCCTGCTGGTCCCTGCTGGGTCCTGCTGGTCCCTGCTGGTCCCTGCTGGGTCCTGCTCTCTGAGGTGTTCTGTTGCTGTGTGTTTGCTGCCGTCGCTATGAAACAAACTGCGATCGACCAATGAATCGCCGCCGATGTGGCTGCGCGGCGTTTGATTGGACAGAACTCGATGCACTTTACCTCCTCTTGAGGATCCTCGACTCAGATTTGAGTTTTTCTTTCGAGCTGACGGACGGCGGGAGTTTGCTTCAAAGAGTTTCTTTAAATTAGTTTTAAAAGTACGTCATTAACGCCACGAGGAGAGAGAGAGCTGTGATTGGTCAGATTTTTGGTTGTTTTTGTGGGAAAATGTGTTGATTTGTGAAGTTTAAGGTGAAGAAGCAGCAGACGCTGAGAGTTCTCGATTCATTAAAGCAGCTCTTTGTCTTTGTTCCAACCTGTTTTAATGAATCAGAGGAACCACAGCAGAACCATGAGCAGAGAAAAGACCAAATAAATGACAGATCACGTGAACAGCGCGTCGTCAGCACCGGCCTCACTGGTTTAGTGTTTTTGTTTCTGTGGAAAAGTTTTCTGAACAACAGCTGAAACTCTGATTCTGTCCTCAGTCTGTTAGAAGTCATGAATTAGTTCCATTAAAAAATGATAAATCTCTGAAAGAAGAGGCCAAAACAAAGAATAAGGAGAACACACGGGGATACAATCACATCCAATCACGTCAAGGATGAACAGGTGTGACCCATCAGCACCAAGTCAGTCGCATTGGGCCTCGAGTTACGTTAGCATGATAGCATACTGACGGTGGGTTTGTTGGATCGGTCCGTTCAGTTGTTTTCTACATGTAGGTCATGTGACAGAGCGCAGTAACATCACGCTCCATTCGCTGCCAAACACCGTCAGCGTGCACGAGCGGTGACGCCACCAAGAAGGAAACCGCAGCCAATCCTGTCCCGTGATGTCATGTGGCAGCAACAAGCTGCTTTAACAGCCCGAGGAGTGATGAGATCGGTTCTGTTCAGATGGGTCACATATAAATATTATAGATACTGAAATAAATGAAGATCAGTGCGATTACTGTCGGTCCTGGACCATCTGTCTCTGTTCTCTACATTTAAACATCATGTATGAATGTATACACATGTAGAATTTAAGGATTAATTTTAAAAAATGTAAATATACAGAAAAACTGCAATTTATATTTAGAGTATTGTATTCTTAAAACTCAAATCTATACAAATACATGTTAAATCCTGGTTCTGCCAGTTCCGCACATATCATTTAATTTGTTACATATATATAAATCTAAAATCTAATTATCTGTTGTTATATTCCACATTTATCGGTTAAATGTGGAAATAAAAGATCCAGATCCACTGATGGGTTTTGGTACCGTGGTTTACTCTAATGCTGCATCAGCTGGAGCTGCGGTTCTGATCCGAGTCTGGATGAAGCACTTTGATGGGATCGCTGCTGGAGGAGCTTCAGACCTTTAAAGCGTTGATTCAGCGTCTGATCCGCTCTGACTGATCAGGTTGAAGTGCTCAGACTGAAGCTATAATCCGTCTCACTGAGCCGCTGTGATTCTCAGGTCATGAAGTTTGCAGATTAAAGAGCAGCTGAGCTTCATGTCTGGACCTGCTTCAGACTGAAACCTGAGCCGGCAGCTGGTTACCTGCTCAGGTGAAACACCCGCAGCCTCGCTGGAAAACACATTCTGCAAACTGCTTCATAATACAGTAACACAAATACAACGTCCTCGTTGGAACCCAGGATGTTCTGGGGTTTGTCGGGTTTCGTGTCTGTGTTCAGAACCTTTTATGACTTTGGTTGTAAATGCTGCTGCTGGAGGTTCTGAACAGAATGGCCCTGTTGTTCCTGCCGTCAGCTGAACAGTGTTCATGAACGCTTTGTAGGACTTCAGTCCCTAATGTGTACATTTGTGAAGTCACATCACAAACAACATTCACTCTGATGGTTGAACTCGTGGGTTTAGTTCAACTGTGAATAACTGACTCCTGCTGAACGACTTCACTGCTGCTCCACCGACCGTCAGATTCTCTCCGACTTGGACTCGTGTGTTTCTGGAGGCGACGGAGGATGTTGGCTTCAGCTCAGAATGGTTTCAGAGAACCGTCCAGGTTAATGTGAACCTGTGAGCTCTACCAGAACCTCCAGCAGCCACATGTTGAACACTTGGAGCTCAGCGCTCTGACGTCATCATTAGGTTTGTTTAAATCAGTGTGTCACACCAGAGCAGCGCCCCCTGCTGGAGGCTTTACGGCTGCAGCTGTCTTTCATCGATTATCGGTCATGGGTTCTGTGGAGAACATTGTGCTGCTCTGCATCACTGTTCTGCTAAAGAAGGAACAGAAGTCCTGGACAGTTTGTATTTCTGTAGACCAATCACAGAGTTTGTGGGCGGAGCCAAGAGCCAGCAGAACCGTGATGAGTAAACTGGTTTACTGCTGGATCCAAACCCTGGATGTTCAGCAGAAAGGTTCCTGCCAGAGGTTCTACCGGTCACTAACGATATCAGTTCCAAATAAACAAATCATGTTCCAGTGATCAGCTGATACTGATCCAATCAGAACAGCTGATCACATCTGTCTGATCCACATGTCTCGTTCTCACCGAGCAGTGACGGGAACACGTTGTTCGCTTTGACCTGCAGCCAAAGACAATCAGTGAAGACGTATTGATCATTGAAGCAGCGGAGTACCTGAGCAGGTGAGTCTGCTGTTCCACCTGAGTGGGTCACATGACCTGTAATGCAGTAATCAGAGTAGCTGAGTACTTTTACTGCAGCACATTTATCTGAAGGTTTCTGTTACTTTATTCATATTCACCATCGGATAAGTGGGCGGCCTATGAACAGGCTGTAGTTATCT